AAAGTAAAACATTTTGAAATTCAGAACATACGATGAATCATTGTTTTCCAGTTTAATATTGTAAAATAGGTTTGGGAATTATCTTTTATGATTTAAATTTAAGAGGTTTGTATGTTTTATTTTTAAAAAATTAAGAAAAAAAATAAAAATTACTTTAATATATGTTTTTAAAATATGATAATTTATTTTTTTAATAAAAATTTATTGAAATGACATAATTTTAAGATGATTTTTTTTAAATTTTTAAGAGATAAAATTGATAAACACTATTTTTAAAATTTAATTAGATTATAAAATATATATTATTAAATAAATAAATAATTTTAATATTAAAAGATTCATTTTGTTTTTTTGGACGGTTTCCAATTTGGAATTGGGAATTCGAATCCTAATTTTATAATTGAGGATAAGATTACTATAAGTATAGAACCGGTTCGACCACAAGTCTCGATGTAAAAGATTCATCTAATATAATAATTTGTATAGTATAATATTATATAATCCAAACTTTACTATATTTTTTTGAATAACTTTTCTTAAATTTTTTTATTTTGTGTGTTTAAATGCAGATTAAAAATATAATAAATATATTTTTATAATTAATTTTTATAAAAAAATATAAATATTAATTTTAATTTAATTAATTAATCAATTAAAATCATTTATATATCAATAATATTAAAATATATATTAATTTTTATAATTATTTTATATAAATTAATTATAAAAAAATATACTTATTATACCTTTAATATGCACGTTTAGATGCATATTAAACAAATATTTTTCCTAATAGAAGTTTATCACAAAACAAAATCTTTAGGTAGGCAATTACTCCATACTTCGGAAGCATGCATTCATTTGATATTGTGTGATTATTATTAAGGTTTCGTTGTAAACTAAACATTTTTAATGGGTTGAATTTGACCGTGATGAGTTCTTTTCGTTTAATTAAATTAGTATATATTCACTCACTTAAAATTATTCGTATAATTTTAGAATTATTCATATAATTTTAGAATTATTCGTTTCGTTGCTTGCTAACTGGTTGGTGGTTGTTGCCCTCTCAATAGTTGAATTTTTGTGTTTGGGTAAGAATTATTACCAGTTGATATGTAACAGCCATCAGCTATTGCGGCAAAATATGTACAAATAAAGAAAATTTTAAAAACTGACAAAATCATAACGCATGGATGGAATTTAATTGAGTTTTGAGTTTGTTTTATTAAAAATCAAACCCAATTAATTTTAAAAATTAAAAAATTAATGACTAGGGTTAGTAATCGAAAAATCTAGATCAAAAACTTTTTTATATAAATTTTTTAAT